ACACTGCGGACAGAGCTGCACAGAACTTTCCAATGTCATCGTTCCCCAGGTGACCGAGATGCTGTCGGGCACTACAAATCCATCAGCTCTTGTTAGGCAATGAATGCTTTGGAAACCGTTATGACAGCCATGGCAAACAGGCTTTCCTTTCTTTTGGTTTGCTATTCCTTACAGAAAGTAAAAGTCTCTAAGATGCTTACATCCTTATAAAGCAGGTAAAAGGGGCAGAGAAAAAAATCTCTCTCAGTAAGGTAGAAAACTACAGCAAGTACAGACTTTGGTGTGTATACTAGGTCAGAAGAAAGTTAGTTTTAAAAAGGAAGAAACAATCATGAACTTTTAAGTATGTAGAAGTGAGTCTATCTAGTTATATCCTTGGGGGGAAAAAAAAGCAAAAACTGTTTCCAAAGAACAATTAAAAACTACAAATAAAGAAGTTAGGGTATTGTGTAGCCTGACGTTATCTGGTACACGAAGTGCATGATCTGTAGAGGAGAAATTATCTATTATCTCTTACATGTGGAAAGACAGAGGGAGAAAGGAAGAGAGAGAAGGAGGGAAGAAGCGAAGAAGGTGGGAAGGGAGGAAAAAACACAAGAATCGCATTACTTGAAAAACAGCATGGTAAGACTTCAAGAGGCCAAATCTGAGCTCAAAACTTTCCAAAGAAATTTGACAGTACAGGAAATCGCCTTTTCTTCTCCTCCCTTAAAACAGTGCAACAAGCCACTAAATGATTTCTAGACCTAACAAGCTTCACTGAAACATTTTACCTGAAATACGTCCCTTAGTAAACGATTAGCAACCATAATATAGGTTTTTGGAATAAGGAATGAACCAACTTGGTTGAAAAATAGCGCTTAAAAAGCCGTGTTTCTGTGGCAGAGTCCTGGGGAGGAAGAAAGAGGCAGCGCCTGCTTTCAGCCATCAAGAAGGTCTGTCATGCTGACACCTGGGCTGGAGGAGGACAGGAGGAGGACAGGAAGCGGAGGGTCAGGACTGAAAACTACTTGATGAATCCTCAGATACAAATAGAAAGTCACTCATATAGCCATCAAGATTGGGGCCAAAGAATTTGACAGGGGAAAGAAGTTAAGTTGGTTGCCTAAGGAAAGAAAATCAGAAAAAACAAAGACTAAAAAGGTCACAGGGAAGGAAATCCCTTATAATTGTCCTTTTTTGTTCTCTGTGAGTGGTGTGGAGGGTGCTCTCTAACTGGTCATTTTAATACAAAACACGTTCTCTGCTGAAACAAACTACAAGGAAAATATAACGTAAGACAATCCAATATGCACTGGAAACCATTATCTCCCAGAAAGTTGAAAAATATAGACAAATATTTCTGGGAAGATTAGAAGAAACAATAGTACTCTTCCTTTAATTCTTTTCAAATTCTTTTTTTACAATCCTCAAAGACTATAAGAAAGTAATAAAATATGCCACATTATGGGTTGAATTATGAATTTATATGGAGACTATTTTACATAATAATTTATATAATTGGAGTTAGCAGTTGCTTTTCTTAAAAGGAAAATCATCTATGAAAAACATCACCTATGTCTAATTAGATACACAAAATGATCAGAAAGTAATAAGGGTATCTTATACCTCAGAAGTAGAATAAACTAAAAATAATTTTGCTCCTTGGTGTTTTCATTGTCAACTGTGAACTGATTTTCTAAAAGCTCTGTGTGTTCTGACTGGGTACCCATTTGTCCAAATAATTATATTAATTATTTTCCAGCTCTGCACTTAGATATGAATAGTGACATTTCTAAGCACATCATGTTTAAAAACCCATATATTGGGGTAAGAGTGTGAAAATGTTTTATAGTAACTCAAAAGGACCATAAATTGGTACCATAATGGGTGGAACATAATTTCAGAAGAGCAAACCCTTCATTCAGAAGGGTTTCTGTTTAAAAAAATTCATCTGCTATAGAATGAGGCTTCCTGGCCTATGCCATTTTGATGTAGAATTTATTAAGTAATAAGTCTCAATTGCTTGATTATGCATTTGGTTTGAACTTTGCTTTTAGTGCTGAGAGGCTGTTTCCAGGTAAATGCTCTGTCCATAATCATTCAAAATGATTCAGCTATCTTTTTCAGACCTACAATAAATATATCTGTCGAGTCTCATCATCTTTAGCATCTGACATTTTGGAACCGAGTTTTGAAATTACATTTTAGGGCAGTAAATCTGCTAGGGAAAATACACTGACTGAACAATGTCGTCAAACATCTTCTGTCATGTGGGAACTGACCCGGCGCACGCAGCTTAGCTCCTGCAGTTCGGCCCAACCGTCTGACTCCAAAATGTTCTATTACAACGGGTGAGTGAGAAGAACCAAGATTGGACCCATTCCATTTACTCTGCAGCAGATGTGTGCCAAGAACACAGCAGCAGCTAGAACTGAACTTGGATATGCTTTCTCTTACTGAGGTTCTGATGCAGTAGCAATGCTGAGATCACAAATTATTATTACTGAACTTATATTTTTAAGTACAACTCGGCATCCATATTTGTGAGCTATCTTTGATATGTTTCCATTGTAGATTCTGGAAATAATTAAATGGGAGCTAGGGTTCAGTGTAAAACTTTGGTTTAAAAAAATGGTAGCTAGACTTCCGTGTAAAATATTTGATACTGATTTATGCAATTTCCTGGCACATGCGGTTTCCTCCCCATGATCTTCCCTTCTAGACAAGGTCAATGAATAAGATTTGAGCCTTTATAATTCTCTTCTAAGTAGTATGTTAGCCATCTTTCAATTCTTCCTGTCTGCAGTCTCCTTATATATCCCACTAAAGTGAGGATACCAACAAATAAGCTGTTTAAAAGAAAATTATTAGTAAGATTCTATCTACAGCCTTCTATCATAATATTAGCAAAACAAGTGATATCTTCAAAAATTATCTAAAATAATTAGGTGTGTGTTGTAACAAAAACAGAGCTTTAAGTCTTCAGAATCAGGAAATACAGTGAAAAGAAATGAAATTATTAGTAAGATTCTATCTACAGCCTTCTATCATAATATTAGCAAAACAAGTGATATCTTCAAAAATTATCTAAAATAATTAGGTGTGTATTGTAACAAAAACAGAGCTTTAAATCTTCAGAATCAGGAAATACAGTGAAAAGAAATGACAATTATTTTTAATGACAAGAATTTCCTGCACATGAAAATGCTATTCATCATTCCACGAGAGAATAAAATATGATAAATTAAAGTAGTCAACTTGATTTTGGAAGAATATTTGCTTGAAATAAACTGTACAAATTTAAAAATATATAAAAGAATTAAATTATTGTAATTTAGATCATATTTTGAGGAATATTAGTTACATGGATAATATATGAAATTTATTTTAACTATTGGCAGTTTTTTTATAACACTGAGTTATTTTTATAAGCTTTTTAAAGTGATCCTATGCTATCTAAAACTCCACAACAAGCTTCTGAAACATTAGTATTGTGCAAGTAACAGATATACCATAAGTGTTTCACTGATAATGAAATATGGCTTGCTAATCAGAATTTTTCTTTCTGTTATTTGTCAATTGATGAAGATTTTATATATATATATATATATATATATACATATATATCTATGTATATATATATATATATATGAGTAAGATGTCTCTAATTTAGTATGAGGACTGTGCTTTGTTCCACGATTGCCTCTAAATGTGTTCTTATCAAAAATCATAGTAGTCTTCCAAAATATATAAAAATGGAAAATATTTTCATCTCCATTTGGATTGATTGGTCGATTGACTGATTTAGAGACAGGTTATGAGTAGGCTCATTTTCAACTCATGAACTCAAGTGATCCTCCTGCCTCGGCTTCTTGAGTACTGGGGCTAAAGGTATGCATCACTATAGTTCATGTCGCCTTCATTTTAAAAATAAAACACACAGCAAGTTGGGAGAACATATTTATAATGAACTTCTTAAAGAACCCCAGGGATTCCAGATCTGTCAAAGTTAATAACAAGATAGTTCAAATTTTCCAGTTTAAATGATTTCAGATCAGAACACTTCATTTTATACATTGAAATCTGAAGAAATGAAACAACCTGCCCAGATTCAAACATAGCAGGTTAAATAGTCCTTATGCTGCACAACTATGAATATAATTCATATTTTCCTGAATGCTGTTAGTTATAATTAAAGTTTTGAAAGGAACACATCACCTTTAATTTCCTTCCAAATCTGTTTCATTGCAGATTATGATATGTGATCATTTTGCATGCCCTGATTTTATTAAGAGATGTTTCTGGATATTACATATTGCTCTCCCGCATACCCTGCACCATGTATGTCTTATATAGCTTGCATGAGTAATAATGCTTCAGATATAAAATGTATAACCCATTCCTATTTCTTGCATTTTAGTAAGATAAAGATGTAAAATTTAATGTCATTTACGAAGTTTTATATTGCATATTGTCATATTTTTCCAGATCTCTTAAAATCCCAAAATACAGCATTTATAAAGGAACACAGAATACATTTTTGTACACCTAGGACATGATGAGAAAGCATTAAAGTGCCTGGAACCCCTACCCCATAAGTGGTTCTGCTCCACCTAGGCAACTGTACCACTAACATGATTCTAAGGACGTTTGTCAACTTGATACACCAAAGCTAAAACCCTTCATGTCTTCCAATGAAAGCAGCATTTTAAAAATGAAGACGTGGTACTTATAGGACTCATACAACTTGTAATATAATAAAAGATTAATAATAGACATTAATGTCAGTCCCCCAAACAATCCTAGATAAGGTAGACATTTTCTAGAAAGAAAAAGAGCATTCAGATCCTTCAAAATATCATCCTGGAATTGTGTAAGAACTTTTATTTCTTATGCCAAAATCATCTTTTTATTGCCAAAGATATTCTAATCAATACACGTTTTCTTGCATATAGTTTATTAACAGAGACATTTACATTTTATACAGTCATTTTTCAAAATATTAGGAATATGCTCACCTGTTCAGAAAAGAGGCCACTGTTATCATCCAGGTATTTACTGAAAGGATTTGGCTCGTAGACTTCTTCTTCCTCTTTCTTCAGTAATATTTTGGATTTTATAGGTACTGGGCGAATTACTCCAGGCTTTGTCTTCATGAATCACAAGTTTGTTTTAAAAAAATAAAGAAACAAGAATATTAATAAAATGAATAAATATGAGCATTCTCGGGTTATTCAAATTTTCTCACAAAAAATGTGCTTTTAAAATTTAAATAAGATTTTACAAATGTATAAAAACACCTGGAAATAAAGTGATTTTAATTGTCATTACAGTGTGAAGTCAATTACAATAATTATTAACTAATTATAACCCATTAGTTGCTTTACATGACAACAGTCAAGTTAGAAAGATGTACCACTGGGTAGGGTTCCGTTGCCAGCACAATAAAATAATTAAATTTATTATCATGACTATCGAAATGCAAAAAACCCTTCATTTATATTGCCAAATTCTTCTGCCCTTGACCTTGCATTGGCCAGGTTTGCTGGCAGGCATCCTGCGCCTGCGGCTTCCCAGCAAATGTGTGCCCCACATCCACAGAGTTGGACCTCAAAAGTTACATCCAAACTACACTGGAGGGACCTGGGTGGCAGCACATAGACTCTCTCTCCCCAGAATGAGATATAGACATGCGGTTCCTTCACAGCTACTTTGGGAGACTGAGATTTAATGTCAACGGCCAGTTGTGAGGCCCTTACTTCAACTTAAAATGCAGGTCTGCAGAGCTCAAGAAGGTCAGAAAGCACATGGGAAAACAGGCTTCCATCTTTCCAGAACTGAACCCCAATACCTGGGCCTTGCTGACTTCCTGTCTTGAGATTCTCTAGGGCTTTCTTTCTCTTATACACTAGATTCCACTTTTTTCCTAACCAAAGTTACTTCTGTAGCTGACAATCAAGAGTTTTAGCTAATACAGCAGCCACTCGAGACTCATAAATTTGTGCCCAAGAGTCTTTAGACAAAAACAAATAAACAAAAAAACTAGTTTGGGACAATTTTAGAATGAGGTTTCACAAACTCCCAAATCTTGTACAATGCCAAAAAATGACTGATAAGTCTCCAAAAACCCACGCCCCCCAAATTCAATACAAAATTGTTGCGTTCTTTCTGTCTACAGGTTTTGCTGTATTCATTCTTCTCAATCCCATTTCCTTTTGGCAAACAGCAATTTAGCTCTTCTCAGTCAATTCCCATGTTCACAAGTTACATCTTCAGGGACCACATTTATCTCACCACTGTATGAAACACTGGGTATATACTGAGTCCTGAGTAAATAAATACTGCTCCACAATACTTTTTTCAATTGATATTTTCTTGATTGTCTTTATGCATATGCCAACAGGGAAAATTGAGAAAAGTCTCTTCCTTCCTCAGACCGAAAAATATCTCCTACTTAAGAAACCTTGATTTCTCTCGAGGAGAAAAATGAGCCAGTAATACCCAGTTAAGCATGAAGTCATCAAATCTACACATACATATATTATGTATATGCATAATATATACATACAGAGAGAGAAAGAGAGAGAGAGAGAGAGAGAGAGAGAGAGAGAGAGAGAGAGATTCCTGCAGTAAATGCAGCTCAAGAATAAAACCTAGGCAATTACTGATTTCCACAGACACCCCGAATAAAGGAAATGTTTGATATCTTGGCCATGATCCTAAGTTGTGAGACTTCCTGTCTCTCTTTTCACTTTGATTATCTGCTTAATTGTTCCCTCTTTCTGCTCCTACTTCTCCATCTTCTCCTTCTCTCTACTCCTCTGTGAAAGCAATACAAATGCATACTCGGTACCTACAGAATACTAAAGCCCACACAGACTTTTGATGACTACAGTAGGTGTCAGAATGCACCACCATCATAGGAAGGATGTAATCGTGGATAAGAAAGAAGAAATCTGACCACCATTGCTTGATAGCAATAGAATAGTGTGAAATCCGACTGCTGCAGAGGTGAACTGTCCGGCCTTGTACCATTAGCAGATGCATCTTCAGCTACACTGGATGCAGCCCTTCACCGAGATCCTGTCTTGTGATCAACACCGCTTGGGGTGAGATCTAAAATAAATCGGTTACCAGGGGGATATCAAGTGCGTTCAGGATCAGAATGGATCACTGATGCTTTGTATTGATTTTCCTGCCAGCACTTTGCTCTTTAGTGGCTCTAAGTTTCCTAGATTTTATACTGTTGGACAATAATTTCGCACTATTTCCTCTACCAGATTTTCTGTTTTTTACTTAGAATCTGTGCCCCATTCTTAGTCTACTGGAAGTCTTCCTCATTCTCCTACCTTTACTCAGTCTTCATGTGGTTATCTCATTATTTAATTGTATCTACTGCCTCCTTTCTTAAGTGTTTATTTCCACCCCTTAACTTGCTGATGGGGTGGTTAGGATTTCAGTCATGGACTTCACCTCTAAGCAAAAAAGGTCTAGATACAGTTTGCCTTTGGCACTGTTGGTGTGTCTCTCCCTGTAACTCTTAGCCACAACCTCTGAACCCAGCTGGCTCTCTGCATCCGTCAAGGCGGAAATCTAACCCCAGTGCTGTACAGACCTCATTCAGCCCTACAAACCACAGTGCCCAGACAACCGCGTTCAAGCAGCTGCTGCACCTGCTCTTGCCATGCCACCCACTTCAAGAACAAACTCAAAACTCTGAGGACCTTTTGCAGACAATGTCACCATCATCCTTCCACAGACCAGATTCTATGTCCTCACTATATGGGATCAAGAAATACACTCAAGGTTTTAGACAGATTCTCATCATTTTCTATAAACTCGGTCAAAGGTTTAAAGTCTATGAAACAGATGTCAGGGTCAAAGTTCTAAGATGTGAAGCCAAGATTTAAATCCTCATCTGAACTTGGCATCAAGCATCTGAGTTTAATTGGTCCTATACCAGAGACAGATACAGAGAGAGAACTTAGAAACATGAAAGAGTTTTAAACACCCACCTATCTATAGCTTTTCTTCTCAATCAATAGCCAAGTATTAGAATTTTTATTTTTATTTTATTTCTTTTATTCACTGCCCCTTTGTTTCCATGGCCAAATACTACATCTTTGATTTTGACCAGGGTTGCTTCTCCAGTGTCATTTAATTTTTACTTTCTCCAGGCTTCCTAAATATTCCTAGAAGAATTCAGAATTCAATTTTTCAGGTCCTGACATATATACATCCACACATCCACTATTCTGCCTCTACATACACAAACACGTGCACACGCAAACCCTGCCCCTGCCTTATTTTAGGACTGTAATTTTCATACCCAGGGCATCAAAATTTACATTATTCATGTCTCTCTGGAGTTGGTTAATGACCCACTCCCAAGAAACAGCATGATATTGTTAGGAGATGAAAATCAAGGTCATATATTTGGTTGTCAAAACGTAGTGCACTGTGAGACCTTGGAAAAGCCATTCAACATCCAAAGGGTTATAATTCTAACCCATGATTATACCCTTTAATAATGGATCATGGTGCATTCATCACTTTTTTCCTGTACCTTCAGGAATCGCACTACCTTGTAAATGGAATTATGATGTATGGCTTATTATATGTATCAAATCCATCATCCAAATATGAGGCTCAAAGAGCAGTTGAGAATCTGCAGAACATACTGCACATATAACCAAGGGGTGCTGGCCTGTGTCAGGCTGTTTAAGATTCCTACCTCACTGCCCTTCTGTTCTTCTCAATACTTGGTTCATCAGCATCAGATGGGCATGCATTCCACATTTCCTAAAGATTAAACTACAACACAAAGTGAACTAGGGGCTCTGTTCAAGCAAGAAGCCGTCTGCTAGCACCTGGTCACACAGCATGCGGTCTGTAAACCAGCAGTATGTAACTGACAGCCTGCTGGAAGCGATGATCTCAAGCCCCGTACTCTTAATGAGCTAGGATCTGCACTTGAACAAATCCTTAGGTGACTCACTTGCACATTAAAAAGTATAGGGCACTAGGCTAAATTCACACTATTATAGTGTACTATTCAGTTAAAGGTACCTTTTTCTCGGTCTACTCTCTATGTGGTTTAGTACTGTCTCCAGGTATAAGGGAAGCTTTAGAATAGAATGTCCTTTACAAATTTCTAGTCTGTATTGTATTTTTGCTCTTGGTCACCTGTTATCTTTGAACTTCAAATAGAAGTTCTTTTGAAGAATTTCTTTAATTTTGGCAAATCTGATTTGCTAAGTCTGGATAGAAAATAGATAAAAAGGAAATTAGATTAATCATTACAGGAGTCTATAAAAGTGAGCAGTGATGAGATTTCCATTGTCCATTACTATCACAACTTAACCAGCCCAAAGTCATTTTTATTTACTTTAATCATTAGCAGGGGTGCACTCATGACAAATAGGCACAAGTGTCACAGGAACTATGTCAGGCAAAGCAGTTCAGTAATTTTCTTTCTAGCCTAAATGGATTTCTTTTAAAATGGACTTACTTTTATAGTTAGTAGAAAGGGCACAGAAAATCAGTAAGAAGATTCTCCAATGCAAAACACCAGTTCACTGTGCTGAACATACGGAGAATTAATTTACACTGAGTGTGAGACATCTGTAAGGTGCACCTTCTTTTTGCAGTTTTGAAGCGCACATCTCTGAGACACTCTGGAGACATTTTGCCAACTGAGAACTAGTCCGTTGCAAAACCTATAGTGTCTACAGGGACAAGCACGAGCTAACTTGAGTCCCCAGGGTGCTCATACCCTAGTTGAGTAAACCACAGGAGAACTACTGGGACAGTCCCACCATATCACTCAGCTCCTAAGTGACGTCACTCAGTTCCAGGACATGCCGTGTCAACTGGATCCTCGAAACTCTCCATCACTCCTATAGTCCGTAACCCTTTCAATGCCTGGAAAGCAATGCCTGCCTGATGCCACATGGACTCATTTCTTCTTTGACCAGTCTCCTGGGGCACAGTCTTACCCCTACTACTGTTCCAGCCACACCCCCCTTCCCACTGTGGCTCCACACTGTGGGGTGCTCTACTCCAGGTACTTGCACTTACTCTTCCCTAGGTTCAGAACTTGTTTCCTCCTTTCTAGGTCTCCTTTTTGCATTTCTTTGCGTTTCTGCCC